CCAGGTTTGACAAGCAAACAAGCTGACAGGTCCGCTCTGACAGAGTGAGCTGAGGTATCCTCTCTCTCAGTCTCACCTGTGGTGACCGAAGAGTCGAGGACACCCCGATACTGGGCCGGGTCGGACTCGAGCCCCCCCAAACGCTTACCGTCGCTGTCGAGACTAAACATCGGATGAGTTGGCGCCGAAGCTGTCGCTCACCCGTGTCATCGCTACAATGCGCCGGAACATGTTCTCAACATAGATAAACTGGAATTCGACGGTCCCAACTCCAATGGCCCAAGCGAGGACCATCCCACCGGTTCCCCCAAGATAGAAACTTTGGTACAGATGCAGTGACTGTGTCTAAGTCGGGTTCTTCGACCAGGCCTCTCTCTCCCGCCTCAATCGGGTGAACCCTTGATCGATAGATTGGCGTCTATCGTCGGAGCCTGAACATGGCACGCATGACATCTGGCGCCGCAATGTCTCACAAGATGAGGTGCGAAGACGGTACACGGCACGCTGCTGCTGCGAAGTCTAATTCAACTTGCTGATCCAGATCAGCGACCAGGCAAGGCCTTTGACATCAGAGGGTCAGACAGAATCGAAGCCAGCACCCTCTTCGGGGAAGATCCATGGCACATCCGCAGAAAAACACTTTCCACTCGAGCAAACGCCATGATGGGACACACGGACACGGCTCGTCACTGATCGCTCTAGTAAACCTGCAGAGTTTGCAGAGTAGAGTTCGGACCGGATTGCCAGTTCGACTCAGCGGGTTGACTCGCTCAACACCACCACCACATCATCCTTCGGACGAAAGCTCGTTTTAAACTTGGAAATAGGCACTGTAGTTTGCAGCTCTGGCCCGTCATTGCAGCACGGATGCTCTCGCATCCATATTGGGATTGCAACATTGCCCTGCACTTTAATCCAAGCAGAGCAGCAAAGCCCAGCTGCCAAGCTGGCTACGCTAGCAAAAGCACCCCCTCACGGTTCACACCCCCTCGAACGTCGCAACGATTTTTCAGAAGAGGAAAGTCGGCGATCCATCCATCCAAGATCCCAGCCCCGCTGCAGAGTAAGGCTAACCAAGATCTGCTGTGGATGAGGCGGTTACCATCAGCCCCAATTCCATCCCATCGTGACTTTGCGTGCCACCGTGCCTACGAGGTCGTTTCGTCACCCTGCTTCGCTCGTCTGTTTTTTCCCTAATATCTATGCTACAAACGTCCCCGTCACCATCCAAGTTCGGCATGAGAAGTGGACTCACGGTCAGAGCTTTCCAGCTTGGAATGTCGAAGCTCCGGAACCAAACGACCAGGGGGGCGGTTTGGCCTTTTTCAGGAGACACGAAGGTCCATCGCTGTTTTACGATTCTCAAAAGGCAAATTTTGATATGCGCTGCTTCAAGCCTGATGGGACGATAGAGCATTGCAACTGTTCACAGGCCTTGCCCATCTCTATTGGACGCCAGCTCTGTCTGTCAGACTGTTGCCCGTTGAAACCTGGCTGCTCGAATGTAGATCAGACATATCTCGCCGCGAAATCGGCATGCTTTATTAGGCATGAAGGGCCGACGTCCTTCTTCTCTGACAGTCCCCGCCCCGATGCCAGATGGTGATCCTCCCCCCTCCCATGATACATTCCCCAAAATGTGCATGTGCCCATCTCTGCGAGAGGAAGTAAAAAGCAAAGAAGGTTGAGATAACCGCCCCATGTGCCTTCAAGGCCCCCAAAAGCTCAAACCCTTGCCGGGTTGATCATCGGAGCTCGGTCCACCAGTTGCGCAAGCCGCTTGTTGACTTCATATTCGAATCCTTCTCCTCCTCCTTCCTCGACCCGCTTCGCGAAGCCGGAGATGGGATCCTGATGTTACAGCAACTCTTCCTGGGCGGTGGACCTGACAGTCAAACGGCCTTGATCAGTCAGAACCAGCCCTCCTCGCTCATCATGAACCCTGATCCGGCCGCCTCCGTCGGTCGATGTCCCGGACGGTAACGAGGGCCAAAAACCCCACCGACAAAGGCCTGGGTGAGAGAGAGTCCGAGTTGGGTATGCCCCCTCCCCTTTCCCACGGCCCATGGCCAAACATGTTCATTGCTGCCCGTCCCCGGTTGCTTCGGCCGCGTTGTCGAAGTTTCGCAAACCCTACCACGGCAAATCCCTCCCAAAGTTTGAGCGGGCCGCGCCCGCCAAACCTCAGAAGTCCCATCATGCAGAGCTGACATCTCGAAACAGGCTAACAGCTGAGCAAGAAGAGCGGCAGCCTGCGGTGCTGTGCCGCACCAAGGCGCCAGGCAAATTGCACCACGGTGTTGTTCGGTAAAGCTCCAGTCAGCTTGGTGAGGTCAGCGAAGGCGCAGAAGCCGAACTTGCCAAAGGTCTAAAGCCCGCCTGTTTGTATCCGTAGAATAGATACGACATCATCCATCGCCCTTCGCAGCCCCTGGCACGAGACCGCACTCGTGAATTCGACCGCGGGAGATCTCGCCGATGCTGATACGACGTCGCCCGCTTTCCGGCATGACCCCCCCTCACCCTTTGCCTTTGGCCCCTGGGGGCTTCCACTCAAACCTCAAAGAGAAAAGCCAAGAGTAGCAGCCAAAAGCAGCAGCCAAAAGCGAGTCGGAGGGGACAAGGCCTGCACGACCACCCGGCCGGCGGCCGGCCCTTCTTTGCCCACTTGCTTGCATCTTGCGAAGATCGAGCTTGCAGAAAACTCTGAGCGTCGTGCTGGATAGGACCCGCCGCCGGTGTTCCAGTTGGCGGGGTAGAGACTATCGTGAGGGAGAAAAAAAAGTTCTTCGCGGGGTAAAGTTGGCCGTGCGAGAGGCGACTTTTCGACTGCCGATGTTGTAGAGTGTTTCTTCTTTTCCTTCTTCCTTTCTTCTTTTGATCTGGAGGATTCGGTGTCTGTCCGGCTAAATTGGATATGCGGTTTGCGTCCTGTATCCTGTACCATGCAAGGTCACTCTCGTGCATCTTGTTGGCAGGCATCATATCAGAGGGGATATGCGCGTCTGTCTCTAACACCAAGGTCCGCTGTGCATGTTGCTGCGTGTTCGATACGCAAATTGCGTGATTGCTCCTGTTTCCTTTAAGTTCCTTGAGAGGAAACAGGCGCAGACGCGTTGCTGCCTCTTCGCTCGCCTTCCAGCCGTCTTATATGCTGTGTAAGTCTTAAGTATATCAATGACACAAGGATGTCTGCGCTCAACTTACTGCAAATCTCACAGTAAAAATACAGGTGTGTATCAATGCGTGTGTTGGATATTACGACAGCTTTCTTCGAAGCTTAATCAAATCCTTTGCGAAGCCTCTAAGCATTCCCGCAGAGTGTTCATTACACCGAGCATCCATCCCATACCTTATAAAGACATGTGCGCTCTCGATTGAATTAATCCATTATTCGGCTTTTCTCTGTGAACGGGCACTTTCATGTGTGGCACACATATGAAGCGAATACTTATGCTATGAGTTGGGCCACAAGCAAGCTCTTCATCAGACTTCGAAGCTATGATATAAGTGAGATGAGTGGCAGCTCCAAGTTGTCTCATGAGCACGAGTGTCCACCCAATGTAAGTATCTACCCAAGGAACGGATGTTTATCTTAGAGGAGGAGGATGCGAGGCCCATGAGAGTCTAAAATCAACTTGAAAAGGCTAAGATGCAGCTTTCTGTGTCAGGACATTGGTAGCTGCTTGTGTATTATCACGAACAGCATCATGCTCCCAAAGGGCTAAGATACACATAAATACACTTATTAATTACACTTATAAATATCTGGGCATGTAGAGGTATTTAGTACTTCCTCAAAACGTGACGCCGTCAGGCCCACTACTCTGTTCGGCTGTCAGAGTGAACACCAATGATTCTTCAACCATAGTGTGACAATATACTTGATAATCATCCTTGAAGTCGGTTCAATTCCTCGCCCAGCTTCCTTCTGAGTTCTCACATGGCTAGAGATGTGCCAGCCCGCTGTAACGTTTAACCAGAGAATTCGATGCTGCCCACTGACAATAGACTTAAGATCAATATCGAGGCCAGACTATCACGCAGAGCATGTACATAGTATTGTCAGTGTCGGCTTAAAAAAGTGAAGCCCTTTCGAACTCAACTACCTTAGTGAGGAGGAGACCTCGCAACGTCCCATACGGCGAGATACGGAAATAACTCAGGCTTACATAATCTATGACTTTGATGGACTATGGGTTTAAGAATCTGCCGAGGTCATAGAACCATCACCTTTCACGATACTGCGAGTCTCGAGCAATGACCGGGAATATTTAGCGCAGATGAGAGGTCTAATTCGAGTGGTATCAAATTCTCCTCAAAACGATCTACCTGTTCCGATAGACTACCTTATAAATAAGGTAGCATGAGGTAGGGCCTCTCACGTTCCTAAGCTGCAAGTTTACATCATCACGAGGTACCTAGTTAAGAGAAGTTGAAGAAGGTCTGAAAACGCCCCCCGCCCCCCCCTTATTCATATTCATCCTGAAAAGGAAAAGGAAAAAAGAGTTCACCACTGGTTTGGCTACATCTCTTGGTGCTCATGCTGGGAATCGAACTCGGAGCCTGTCGTCGAGTAAGGCTGTGGGCGAATATATTGATTATTGACCTCGAACCACTCCACCACCCAGCCAGTTTGACCAGACCCGTCGACCTAGACGGGCGCCTTCTGGCTGGTGACGGGAATGGACTTGGAGGGGTATATGAGGGCTTCCCGTGTATTCAGATGGCGGAATATGCGGGAACGGTGAGATTTGGAAAATTCCTGGGAAGCGTGCTAGTACACAGATGCTAGGCTTGTACGGGACTCGGATATCAGGCAAGAGCTATGCCAAAGGGATATTTGATGAAGTCAATTTTAACCTATGATATGCATGGGCATTTTCCTCGCCCGTCTTTTGGTTGAGTGGGTAGTACTAGTACATAATGTGACACCCGGCGATTCTCATATCTTGTGTGTGTGTCTGTCCATCAACGCCGGCTCCGTACTTTCAAAGTAATCATTTCTGTCCTGCCGCTTGGTCAAAGCTCTCGAGCACCGAATCCTTCAGCTGCTTGGGTTCCCCAGACGCTCCCTCGTCAGACTTCTCCGCCGCCTCGTTGCCGACAAGCTGCTTCGCCATCGTCCTGGCTTGCGCCTGGCCAACCTTGCCGTACACGCTCAGGCCGGTGGCAATCATGCTGGAGATATCTCCCACGTTTCCGGGGACGACGACAGCCGTGCTCTCCTTGGCCAGCTTGCCAAACGCGTCAACGTACTTCTCGGCAACAGACAGGCTGATGGCGCCCTGTGCCGCATCCTCGCCGTCGGCAATGCTCTTGGAGACGGCCTCGATACCGGCGGCGGTAGCCTTGGCCTTCATGAGGATAGCCTCGGCCTCACCAGACGCCCTGTTGATCTGCTCGGCGCGCAAGGCCTCGGACGCCAGAATGACGCTCTGCTTCTTACCCTCGGCGATGTTGATGGCCGATTGCCTCTGACCCTCGGAGTCGAGGATCTCGGCGCGCTTCGAGCGCTCGGCGGTCACCTGGCGGTGCATGGCTTCGACGACGCCGGCGGGGGCGTGGATGTCTCGGATCTCGTAACGGAGGCAGGTGACGCCCCAGGCCTGGGCGGCTTCGTTGATGGCGGCGGTGATGTTTGTGTTGAGGGCGGCGCGCTCCTTGAGGACGTGGTCGAGGGTCAGCTGGCCGATTTCGGATCGCATCGTGGTTTGCGCCAACTGGGAGATGGCGTATTCGGCATCTTCGACTCCGTAGCTTGGGGGAATATTGTTAGTATGCTACCACGGTACCGTCGAGGGGACGTGCCGACAAACCTGGCCTTGTAGGCGTCAAAGACGCGGGTGTAGAGGACACCATCGAGTTCGAGGGTGACGTTGTCGGCGGTGATGGCGCTCTGGCTGGGGATCTCGAGGGCGTTTTCCTTGAGCGACTTGACGTAGGAGATGCGGTCGATAAAGGGGACGAGGATAGCCAGACCGGGTTCGAGGATGCGGTTGAACTTTCCCATGCGCTCAACGATCCATGCTGTCTGTTGCGGAACGAAGCGGATGACGGTATTGGCGGGGAGCGATGACCTCTGGAAGTAAGAGGGCGGGATGCTGGAGCTGGAGCCGAATGCTGACGGGAGCAGACTCTTTGTGGTGGTCTGGAAGCCGCGCGACTGGGACTGGACGAGAGCCCGTCTCAGCGGCGCGGAGAGTGCGGCTTTGGTTACCGCCGAAGCCATGTCTGTTATTGCTGCTGCTGCATTGACGTAGATCGAGAAGATGCGTGGATCAAATCGAGGTTGCGAGCTCCAGAACAGCTCTCTCGCGGGTCATCAGCTAAGGCCAAAGAGGATCTGTGGGTCTCCGTCGTTTGACCGGGGCAAAAAAATCCCATGGATGACGGAAGCTGCAGCTGCCTCTGCCTAGGTACCTTACCGATGATTAGCCGACGGCATCGGCCGAGGCCCACCGGGCTCTGATGCTCCCGTTCCGTGGTGCTATGGGCATCCAGGATCCATCCTAGACACGAGGACTTTCGTTGTCAGCTTGGAGACCAGACGGCACATCTGTTCGCAACGGATATGAAGCCCGGATCCTCTGATTCTTGCATTGGATCGGAACCTTATTGATATTGCTAGTCATGAAACTTGGATCTCAAAACATTCAGCATCATAGCAGTCACCACGATGATAGATCGTAGGATCCAACCACATCACCTTACTACTGTAACATGGTCCAACACCTAGTTGAGTTCTCATCTGAAAGACTGTGATTATTCTCAGATGATAACAAGCCGGTGTGAAATCAGCAGAGGTAGCCTGGAGAGTTGTGCCCAATGTGGATTCGAGTCTCGCACCCGCAGAGGTGCATGCTGTTGATGGTATCCTCTTCCATCTCACTCTGTGCAGACTCTGAAAGCACAGAGACACACAGCCTTCCTTCACGGCACAGCATAATGGGCGGAGAGAACCTTGGGTGTGAAGAAAGTCATAATCATTGAGCCATACTACCCATGCCATGTGTACCGATAATCAGCCCGACCTACCCAGCCAAACCCTCTTTCGCAAATCGTGGGGAATCATGCACATAGGGAGCTCCTAGTATGTAGAACCTTCGGGAGGCTGGGGGATCTTCTTGTTCGCAGGAGCCGCCATGTACCTGGAGGAACGTACGTTAGCCACGCCTTATGAGGGCTTGCAACACTTGAGCCTGCGCCCGAATACATCTCCCCAACTTACCTTCTAAGCTCAATGAGAATGGTCTCCATGGTGTTGTCTCTCTTCCAGTTGGCCAAGCAAGGAAGCTGTCTGGGGTCGACAACGCCATTGCGGGAGTTGACGCAGGGCAGGTTGACCTGGCTCACAAATTGTATCGTGGGAGGCTCGTCAGGATAGTTGGGGCCGCAGTGCATCTTGAGGGAGTAGATTCTGTTCTCGTGGACGCTCTACAAAGGACCGGTCAGTGATGCGCAACACCTCGATGGGGGCCGGCAAGCACAAAGGAGGTACTAACGTGAGGGGGGCCGAGAATGGTTCCGTTCCAGTCGGACATCAAGAGGTCTTCGGCATCGTTCAGACCGTAGGAGCAAGCCTCTGCAATGGAAGGAGTCAGTCAGAAAAGCGAGATGCGCGGGGCAGATTGCTTGGTGTTGCATCAGAGGGGAGGGGCTCTAGTACCTGCTCCGAGGCCCTTCTCGCCCTTCTCAAGTTCCTCAAGGAGGCGGAAGTTGCGTGGAACTTTTGCGCCCATATTGAGTCGTGCGTGGGTATCGAGAGACTTGGGGTCGGTGTGGTTGTGAAAGGGCGACTGGTAGATACGGCAGTGTAGATGTTCAAAGTTGGAGGGGTTACGAAGTGGGAGGAAGGCCGACGGGGACTGCAATGCGGCCCGGATCTTAGTTTCTTACCTAAACGTGAAGTAGCTGGGTAGGTACCTAGGGGAACATCTGGTGGACCCAATGGCGGCTCGCAGTTGGCACCTTACAGAAGGCCGCCAGTGTAGTCAGGCTGGCTCGTGCCTGAAGGCGCTGGAGAGACGGTGCAAGTGTCACTGTCTGGCAGCTCAGCCCAATGCGCACAACGGAAGGCAGCGCGGGGCAGTAAAGGCGGTGAACCGTTTTGGGCGTTCTGCCAGTAAAGCGGTGTGGATACCTTTATGCGATATGCCTTAGTCATCTTTCAAGGTGGACAGCTCACCTCAATCGGGAGCTGTGGATGAGCTGCTAGTCGCAGAGAGCAGTCGCAGCTGTCCAAACGGGAGCTCCCTACTTTGCCTGAACTTGCCCTGTTCATCCCTATCAACTCGTAACCAACTCGACAAATTCGACAAGACACGGCCTTAAACTCGTTTCACAGCTCGTTCCGTTTGTGTTTGTTTCTCCTTTCCACGGAGCTCGGTCAAAGATCGATGATGGACTGCCGGAGAGGCCACCTGTGACAGAATGACTACGCAGCTCCTGGCCACGGAGCTAACCAACCTCATCCAAGAGAGCAAGCGGAAACACAATGACCTCCGTCAGGTGTGCACTTGATTCTCCAACTAAAAAGGACTCAATGCTAATGCCATCTGAATCAGGCTGCCGAAAAGTCTCTCGAGGAACTCAAAGCGCTCAGAGGAGCTAACGAAGCTCAAGCTGCCAACGGTGTGTATCCCCCCCTGTCGATCCCTCCTAGCCATGGATCCATGACTGACCTCTCGACACAGAGCTTGCCCAGAGACCCAACTTTGTGAATCCCTTCATCATTGCATGTGGCACCAAGAATGCAAAGTTTACTGGAATCGCCATTGTATGCCTCCAAAGGCTCATCGTCGCCCGTGCTCTTCCAAGGGGGAAGTTGAACCAGGTCCTCGAAGCTCTGAGAGAGGCAACCTCGGCTGGTCTCGATGTTCAACTCAAGATCCTTCAGGCTTTGCCGTCATTACTGCAGAATTATGCCACTGATCTCAAAGGCGACCTTCTCATCACCGCTTTAAACACTTGCTTTATACTGCAGTCCAGCAAGAATGCTATTGTCAACAACACCTCCGCGGCAACCTTGCAACAGCTCGTCGTATCTGTTTTTGACAAGGTCGTTGCTGAAGATAGTCAGGGTTCCATCAGTCTTCCATCAAATACCTCTGCTAACCATGCGTAGAAACGGCTGCAAGTGGCCCTCCCGCGGGCGAGGCGCCCTCCGGTGATGGCACAGTCGAACTGCGCGCAGCGGCGTTGGATGCGTACAGGGTATGCCGCGCCTTCAAACTATAAAATTCTGTCACTTACATCTGCTCAGATATTCAACGACCTATGCCTCATGACGGAGAACCAGCGCCCCGAGTACCTGAGATTCTCCGGTCTGCCACAAACATTCGGATTGGAGCTGATAGAGTCTGTTCTTACCAACCACGCCGCCGTCTTCTCGACCCATAAAGAGCAAGCACACATCCTACAAATTCGGGTCATGCCCTTCATCACTAGTGCACTGAAAGGGAAGCCCAACTTTGCCACGTCGGTCAGACTGGTCCGAATCCTGTACACTCTCCTACGACGCCACATCAACATTCTCCCAACCGAAAGCGGAGACGCACTTGATATCCTGACGCATCTGCTGGACCAGGACACGGCGACATGGAAGAGAGCACTGTGTTTAGAGGTTTTCCGAGGTATCTTCTCAGAGCATGCCTTGATTCGACGGATCTTCGTCAACTACGACGCCAAGGAAGGCGAGAAGGATGTTCTCAAACATTTGACCGCTACCTTTGTGCGGCTTAGCACCGAGAAGCCATCCGTCATTGGTCTTGGACATCAGTCAACGATTCCGGTTATGAACCCATATGCCAGCATCGCATCATCAACCGATCAAGCCATGCTCGAAGCCAGCGGTGTCACGGGTATTATCAGCGGCTCCGTCAGCGCGGACGGATCCAACGTGGGCATTAGCACGCAGTGGAGTAGCGTCCGGGTCCCTTGCATTGACCAGCTCGACAAGACCGAGGCACCATCTGTTCCGGATTCTTACATCTACAGCTTGACTTTGTCTTGCATAGGGTCGCTCTCGGAAGGCCTTGCCAAGTTCATCCTTCCCCTTACCGTCCCCGGGGATAGCCGCAATCGCAAGAAGAGCGGGAAGCAGGAAATTGGTCGGGACTCACCAGCGCCTGCACAAGATGATACAGACGGGTCACGGGCTGCGTTGGAACGAGCGGCATCATTCAAGAAGAACCCCGTCCCGCTCAACCCTCTTGCTTTGGAGGATCATCCAATGCACAAAGAAGTCAAAATTTGCGCTGCCATAATTGAAGAGTGCTGGCCTGCCATCCTCGCTACCTGTTCTACGTTTCTCTATGCTGCTATGGACTCGGAGTACTACCACAGTCTAGTGAGGGCATTCCAAAAGTTCGCGCACGTCGCCGGCTTGCTCCAGCTGTCTACTCCGAGGGACGCATTCTTAACGACGCTGGGCAAGGCGGCAGTACCGCCGAATGTGTTCACGGCGTGCCTGAATGCCGGACCAGCTCGACCAACAACACCCACACCGACCACAGAAGCACCCAACAGCATTCTGAGCAACGCAAGAGGGCTACTAAGTGTCGATAGTCTCGTCACCCAAGCCTCTCCCGTCGTTGACAGAGGTCGACAGCAGGGCCTCGAGGGGACCCAGATGACGCTCAACACCCGTAATCTGCTATGCCTGCGAGCGCTCCTCAACCTTGGCATTGCCCTTGGCCCGACTCTCGGTTCCTCCTGGCGTATCATCCTAGAAACCTTACAGCAAGCCGATTTCGTACTATTCTCCACGAGTAAGACTCCTGGCCGAACGCCACTCGCAACGAAGGGAACGGATCAGCATGCAGAGGGTGAGGCAAATGCACTACTCTCCAACTTTAGCAGCGAAGTTCGCGCCGTTGAGACGGCGGCATCTCGTCTGATCGAAAGCACTATTGACTTTCCCAACGACGCCTTTGCACAAGTCGTTGAGGCGGTATGCGACCTCTTGGAGAGAGCAAAGGATGAGAAGCCAAAGACAGAGACTGCAGCGCAACCAAAGTCGCCTACATCAGGAGGCATGAAGCCGTCGCAAGCAGGCCAACACCGTCGGGTCCTCAGTGTCTCTACAGCAGCCGCCGCGGGACCGAATCAGGAAGACCACTTCGCCCTGGCTAAGCTGGGGGACATTGCCACGATCAACATCGATCGCTTGCTTTCTTACTCACCAGACATATCCGGATGGACGCCCCTGACTTCCGAATTGATTCACATCATCAACGCGGCGTCAATGAACGCTTCCGTAAGACTGCGAGCGGCAGAAATTTTGGTCAGACTGGCTCTTGATGCAGCCAATATTGCGGCCACGATGGAGCGTGAGCAATGCGGTCAGATTCAGTTGCTTCTCCTCGAGGCTCTCCGCGATGCACTCTTGCCTCTGCAGCAAGAAGATAGGGAGGTCACCGTCGCCAGTCATAGCACTGACGTCGAAATCCACAAGGTTGTTCTGGAAGGACTGAAGAACCTACTTGAAAACTGCGGCGAGACACTCGTTAGCGGATGGGAGATTGCCTTTGAAATTATCGGCTCCATCTTCATCAACAAAAAGTTCGCCCCTGGAGAACGTCGGGGCTCCCAGACGAACGTTCTCATGACCAGATCAGCGAAGCTTGTCCGGTCTTCTTTCAATTCTCTTCAACTCATCTGCTCCGACTTCCTAGCGTCTTTGCCGAATTCCTGCTTTCTCATCCTTGTTGATACCCTTTACAAATTTTGCTCACAAGATGATGACCTCAACATTGCATTAACGGTACGTTGCAAAGCGTCACGTCGTTCGGGCCAAGCTAAAACTTTGTAGACTGTCACGTTTTTCTGGGTTCTGTCAGATTTCCTTTCCGGCAAGACTGAGACCCTGCCTATCACTGCCGACCTGATGCAGGGCTCAAGTATATCTGATCTGGCAGTCTTGGCTGCGAATTCGGAACACATCGCTTCAGACGCCGCCCTTTGGATGCTGTTACTGTTGAGACTCACGACGGTGACAGCCGATGGACGACTCGAGCTACGCAATAGCGCGATTCAAACCTTGTTGAGAATATTTGATGCGTATGGTGATAAGTTGAGCCCAGAGGCATGGTCCACCTGCGTCAAGTCTGTGGTTTTCAAGCTTCTTTCGTCGATAGAGGAAGAGCTTCAAGCCACCGCAACCGACAGTACCACCCTGCAAGACCGCAAAGAGTGGCACGAGACAGCATCCGTTGTGTTGACCGGTATTTCCGAGCTCCTTACGACCTACATGGAGACCCTATCCACGCATTCCTCATTCAATGCCCTGTGGCAAGAGCTTCTTGGCCACTTTGCTACTCTACTCGATTTCAAGGTGCTCACAATCAACACGGCCACGTACAAAGCGCTCGGCAAGGTGATCAAGCTCGATTACGATCCCGGCAGACCAATTTTTGACACAGACACTGTCAACGCGGCATGGGAGCTGTGGTCTCGGGGCACGCCCGTCTCCCTAGACGAAGAGGATGGCAAGGAGGCAGACAACCAAAATTGCTTGATTGCCTACGTTGCGGCATTCCACGATGTATACCAACTCGTCCAGCAAGACCTGACAGTGGATCGGGTCCGCCAAATGTTGACCCTCTTCCGCGAGGCCCTGCAACAAGCCACGGTGGGAGCCTACGTGAACGACATTGAGTATGTCACGCCACTGCAGAACCAGGTCATGGAAGCCATCAAGATGGTGCGAACAGACCTGTCTGGGGTGCCCTCGGCTATGATCTCCCAGGTGGCGGAGTTCGTCCGCCTGGCCTTCAGCGACGAAGCACTCAAGGCGCAGAGCGCGACGCAGCGGAGAACATACGTGGCCATGTCGAAAGCCAGCATGTCCATTCTGCAAACTCTTATCCTACGCAACGCATCCGACGTAGATATTTACGCTAGTCAGGCCTTCTCCTCGGCTCTCTCGGCGCTGTCCAAGCCCGTTGTCCTCAAGTACGGCTTCCCAATTGTGACCAAGTCAGCCCAGCCATGGCGTCTCGCGACAAACTCGATTCTCGCCATCTTGGAAGCCACGCTGCCACAGATCCGTGCCCTCGAAATCCCCCGCTCGACACTTCAGGACATGTGGCAAATGATTGTCGGAATCGCCGACGGTATCGTAAGCGCGGACACCAATGCAGCGCCATCATCAGCAGACCTCTCGGACGACGAGTCCTTCGACATTGCATCATTCCACAAACTCCGCGAACTCATCATCCCATCCTTAGGAGCCGAGGCGATCCCAGATAAGACCCGCAAAGCCTATGCCGAAAGCCTTTTCCGGACCTCCATCATCCACGACCCCTCGCCGACCGAGTCCTCCCTCCTCTTCGGCTCCAGCAGCGACGGCGCCAACGGCCTCGCATCGCTCTACAAGAAACGGACCGGCCGTACCGTCGACCCGCTCCCGACCCGCCGCGATCGCATGGCCTACGTCTGCGTGGACGAGCTCTTCTCCCTCGTCTCAACGTACGACGTCTCGAGCCTGCGCATCGTCGTGCAACCGCCCACGCCCGCGTTCCCACCCCCGCGCTCCGCGACCTCACACCTCTCGGAGGCGCCGCAGGCCCTGCACATCCGCATCGCGCGCACCGTCGCGCCCTTTCTCATCCTCCGTGCGGCGCTGACCGTCCGGACGTACATTGCCGACCAGCCCCTGCGCGGCCGCATGCCGCAGCCGCTTTCGCAGCGAAAGGAGCTGCTGCGCGTGCTCCGGCAGCTGGTCGACTTGACGTCTGAGTCGGACGCAATTCCCAGCACGCCTAACGTCGAGAGCGAGGGAAGGAAACATCTGCTGCGACTATATCCCCTCCTCGTCAGTGCTGTGCAGGTAGCGGGCTCTTCTGGAGATGAGGCGGTGTTGAAACTTTGCGTAGAGGCTCTCGAGGTTGTTGGTGGCGAGCTGGGTGTCTGATAGGGGTTGTTTATACGCAACTGCTCTGGTCTCAATGTATCATTACCTACTTTACCATTTAGACAGACATGGTCAGCAAGTTGTAGATTGTTATTGCACCAGGGGATATTAGTGGAATTCTGTGCTTTAGCGGTTCATAGAGCATTATCATCACTCGTCAACTCAGTGTCAACAATGTAGTCCAATATCACCATCGTTTTTTTTTTTTCCAAATGCCAATCTACAAAGGCTACTCGGTACGCTACGCACCGTCGGGCTGTGGTTTGAGGACAACCTCGCAACAAATGCTATAAACAGCCGAAGCAAAAGATCCGTAACCCCCGTATGAAAAATCAGAAGATTAGTCGCGCTCCTGATGAGCGTGCCATTGCCAGAGGTAACACGGATACTATGCACGCGTGCAGGCAGCCAGTAAGCCGTACGAGGAAAGAAAGGGAATAAGCAAAACCATAAGCAATACCTACAATTAGGGACGGCTCTTCCTCCGGCGCCCCTTACCAGTGCATCTCTCATCCCAGTCTGTTTATATTTCACCCCAAAGGCAGTAAATTGCATCTAGGTGGCATTGTCAGGCCATCGATCATCCACTCATCGAATCTGCTATGGCCCCATACTGTTTCGCTGACACTGATGTAGCTAGTATCTGGAAACGAAGGGTTCATAGTAGCCATTGAGCTTTACACCATCGACTCAAGACATGCATGGACTGACTATTCAGTCAGCGTCCCCTGGGTTGCATCCATCATACACACAAACCAATCCCAACTAAAAAGGGACAAAAGGAAGCAAACAAAATCAGTTTGACCCTAGAAAGCCATATTTTCAAAACCGAATAGGCATCCCATACCGTTTGCTCCTCCCCCGCATACGAGGGGTGGAATCCCACCGGTTCCACGGCCCGTCCTCTCTCCCCACTCCCCCCACTCCCCCCATTCCCTCCGTGACTGCCTGTCTACCTCTAACGCCAAGTAAACGATGCCTGCAGGACAAACAACAGCCTGCTTCCTCTCATTGTCTCACCAAAAAATTCCCACCAATTCCCCTCTCGTACCCAAAGACCTCGTGCCTGTGGATGCCGGCACTAGCGCTTTCCCAAGCTCCATTAGGAAATCCGGGGGACTATAGGGTTTAGTCTCCGAGGGACGGAGCCAAGACCATAGTAAAAGCTTGAGAATAAATTGGCTTCTTTTTCTTTCTTTGTTTTCTTTGGACAGACATTGGCAATTGGTCACGGCAAGGGGAAGAACTCCAAGTTGGTGATGGCTTCAGATTACCGCAGAGACTCCATGAAGGAGCCCACTGCAGGTTGTATATAGCCTATTTTGTAACTAACGAGAGTAATTGATAAGGCATCGCTCGACAAGGCACCCGGCGCCCGTAGCGGAACATACGAGTGTCTTGTGTCGCGACACCTCTGGTATCGCGAACGACCCCAAGGTCTGAACCTAGCCGATGCTGGACCCGTATTACAGCCACCACCTAGCCCTGCTAGAACCATCCAAACGGCAATACAAAAGGACGCATGTTTTTTTCTTCGATTTTCTTCCATTTCCCATCGGTCACTGCGCAAGAGATCGAACATTTCAGGCAGCCGTCTTCTCGCTGTGCGCAGCGCGGGTATTGATATCCTCCTCGTGGATGTTGGCATCAATTTCCTTCTCGACCTGTGTGAGGTCGACGTGCGCGACAGCGTCGTCGCCGTCAAAGATCTTGGAAATCTCCTCCAAGGTGGGGCCCTTAGTCTCGACGTAGAAGAAGTAGACGAAAACAAGCTCGCAGAAGTCCCAGAGGGTGTAGAACAACATAAAGTTCCAGTGGTTGGGCAGCTTGTCCCATGCGACCTTGTTGGTTTGGCTGATGATGTGGTTAGCTGAAGTCAGTCAATACACATGGGGGATGGGTGCGACGTACTTTCCAATGGCGAGGATGGCCTGCACGGTAATGTTCATAATCATCATGCCCTTGGCACGGAGGTGGAAAGGCAGGACCTCAAGACCGTAGGCAATGAGCAGACCGGAGAAGCCAATGTCGTAGAAGATACCAAAGATCCAGATGAAGACGAGCTGAGCGTAGCCAGAGCCCTGGTTAGTGTTGCCGGAGTTCTCGAAAACGGCACCGGTGATGGTCCAGCAGACGAACGAGGCGACCATACCGCTGATGGCAGTCAGGAATAGGGGGCGACGTCCAAAGTAGTCGACGGTCAAGGCGGCACCGATGGAGCATGAGAGATCGAGGATGGACTTTCCGGTCGAGATGGCGAGCTTCTGGTTCTGCTCGGTGATGCCGGCACCCTCGTAGATGGCGTCCATGTAGTTGGAGAAGAGGGCGTTTCCAGAGTACTGGGAGATGATACCGAGAGAAATGATAATTGCGAGACGCCAGCGGTTTCCCTTGGTCTTGAGAAAGTCGACATAGCTAGTCGTCTTATCGGCGTTCCTCTCCATCAAGATGGTCTCCTTCATCTCGCGGAACTCGAACTGAACGGTGGCATTGTTCAAGTCGCCGCCAGCATGGTGCTTGGCCAAGACGGCGAGAGCTTCCTCAGAGCGGTCCTTGTTAATGAGGTAACGCGGAGACTCGGGAACCCACCAGATACCGATAAGCTGGATGACGGAGGGGACAATCTGGATGAAGGTGATGGATCGCCAGCACCAGTCGTTGTTGACATATGAGGTTCCCCAGCCAATGGAGGCGACGATCAGGGCCCCCAGGTTCCAAAGACAGTTGTAAATCTGTCGGCTCAAGTCAGCCCGCGCTTCCACTTCGCAGCGTTCATGTCTGGTGTTTGGGGACAGGTTAGAGAGGAAACCTACAGCAGTGACGGGACCACGGTGTTGAGGGTGGCAGATCTCGGTCAACAGCAAGGGGGACGCCATCTGAGCAAGTGAGTTACCGAAACCCAGAATGAATCGTCCGCCGATGTACACTAGAATGAAAGTTAGTCTAGTCTTCCAATCAATTAGCAAGAGCAGGAGATTTTGACGTACTTCCCCAGCCGTTGCAGAAGGCCGTGACGGCGCCGCCGACGATCATAAAGCAACAGCCGCTGACAATGGCAATCTTACGTCCGAAGTTGTCTGCCACGTAAGGTGTGATGAAGTATGAAACAATGGAACCAATGTTGAACATGTTGATGAGGATACCGAGCTTGTTGTTGTCGGAGACGCCGTCGCCAAAGTAGTCCTTCCATCGCGACATCTGCTGAGAAGTGTTGACGAGCATACCATCGTAGCCGGTGGTGGCTGAGGCGACCATGAGGAAGATGGTAGAGAAGTAGAGCTTGCGAAGATGGGGCTCTCTCAGCCAGTACACCTTTTCGAATCGCGGGGCCTCGGCCTGGGCGATGCCGACGTTGTCGGCCACTTGCCGGGACATGACGGCCTTCTTCACCATCGTGGCAGTGTTTTATGGGTTACTTCCCTAAAACACTGATAGAATTTCTAAAGAGAGTGATAAGAGAGGGTATAGAAGTTGACTGGCCGACTCGCGGGTGAAGAGGGAAACGGTCTGTGAACGAGAAGGTCAGGGTAGAGGACTTATATATGTTTCCTCACTTTCTGACCCCGGGTTTTCCTCAACTAGGGTGGAAGCATTGCAATTCTCTCGATCTGCACGGCTGCTGACCCCGGAGCTAATTTGTTCACCCCCATTCGGACGTGCCCACCCCCGTGAAGGAAGCGTCTGGGGGAGGCGGGGATGCATAAGGAGCAGGGGTGTGCGGCGGCGACGGCACGAATTGGCGGCACGCGGGTAAAGATGGGTTGGATGATTGGCGTGGGCGGCCCTTCTCCAAAAGTCATGAATAGTTCGACCAAATCTTGGTCTGGGGTCTCGACTATGTGAACGGGCGCGGTGGTGCATCTCTGCCTGGCCTCTCGGGAAAGCTCAAGCAAATCTCAGGTTGCTCGATACAGACCCAAACAGGCCTCAGTGGTATGGTTTTGTGCGGCACAGAAACACACCACCTGGTGCTGGGGTAAGCATCTACTTGGATTCCAGGGTCTGCTGTCTTGTGATTCGTGGCTCGGGCCTGGTTGCATTGGGGAATAGATATTCGACACCACATTCATGTGCCAGGCGAGCTAGCCAACTGTTTCTTGCATGCAAAATGGTTTTTCAAAAGACTCATCTCCGTGCCGTTTACGTGACACTCCGACTCGACGAACAGGGGTATCGGGAGGCTTCCCCATGGGCTGCTCTGGGAAAGGAGGGAACAAGAGCCATGATGGTACTTGTGCCGTGTATTGCCAAAAAAAACATTCTGGAGTTGCATTCCGTGACCTGTTGGTATTAGGGACCTCTAGATCGTACTCTCACGAGGATGGGTGCAGCTTTCCTGGGCCTGTACCAGGCATCTCCGGTCCGCCGGCTCATCCCTCGAAGCTAGACCTCCAGCCGATTATTGAGACTGCACCTTGTCTGCAGAGACTGCAGTTGGAATTGGTTCAAAACGCCCACCAAAGTGACAATTACTAGTTGGATTCCAACAGACTGGTAATGCCACCACAGCAATGAAGCACGCCAGCTGGCCAGCCAGAGCTTCCATCAGCCGGTTGGTGGTTATTTGCACCCTGTCTTCTGGGGCTCGTTGAAAACTCTTCCGTAAGCAGGTTTTGCAGTCTATGATGCTTCGAACTTCATAGTCTGGCGCCCGGGATATTGTGTGTCCATATGTATCACTTGACGCTGATTTGGTGGCAACATTGACCTCGTAGCTCGACGTCCCTCAGGTTGGTTATGCCTGGCGTGAGTAAGCTTCTACTATCATGAGAAAGAATGAACCACTCAGATCAAGGAGAACAATACTTAAGGTGCGAGGAACTAGCGTACCAGAATTCGAATAAAGAGCCCTGTCCGGCCCGGGCGAGAGGCGGTTCAGGTGTCAAGCTGACTGGGGTACAGTACATGTGGCTTCATGAGAAGGGCCGTCTGGATGAATGTCCGGCAAAAGACGGATGATATTAACCATGTCCCTATCATTGGTCGACAACGTGAAGGGA